AAAGAATTAATATTTACAAAATGCTTGGAATAGTTTCTGGCACATAGTAAAAGCTATACTAGCTATACTAGCATTACAGAAATATAAAAACAAGTAGGACATAGTTGAACCTCATATTAGGTGAGTGGTTCACCTCCCCCAGATAATCATTAACCATTGTGACAGAAAAAGAAAGAAAGAAAGAAAGAGAACCCTGTTCCTTTTGGAGTATACTAGATAGATTTGACCAATTCTACATAATCTCTCCCAGAATACGGAAGAGGAAGGAAAACTTCCCAATTCATTTTATAAAGATACTATTACCTTGATACTAAAATCAGACAAAGACTGTAGGAAGAAAAAGGAAAAGAAAAAGAAAACTATAGCTCAATAACCCTCATGAATATAGATACAAAAATAGGTACAAAAAGCCTTAATGAAAAATTAGCAAATAGAATTCAGCAATGCATAAAAACCATTATACATCATAGTCAACCAAGGATACAAGGCTCATTCAATATTCAAATATCAATCCATGTAATTTACCATATTAACAGACTAAGGAAGATGGTTCTATGTTTTAAAAGTGTTATAGTTTTATGTTTTACCTTTATTTATTTTTTTAAAGATTTTCTTTTTTGACGTGGACCACTTTTTAAAAAGTCTTTATTGAATTTTTTACAATATTGTTTCTGTTTTATGTTTTGGTTTTCTGGCCGAGAGACGTGTGGGATCCTAGCTCTCCCACCAGGGATCGAACCCTCACCCCCTGCACTGGAAGGCAACGTCTTAACCACTGGACAACCAGGGAAGTCCCCAAGTTTTACCTTTAAATCTGTGTGCCATTTTGAATTAATTTTTGTGTACCGTGTGAGGTTTAGGGGCAGGTTGACTTAATGGACACACCTGGAGCTGGGAACCTGGGAGGGAGCAGCTGAGAGTGGGAGGGCAGGAGGGAGCACAGGGGGTGAGTAGAGTCCTGGGGACATGCTTTATATTACCTTGTGAAATGAACACCTTACTGATTCTTAGAAAAATAATATATGACTCGGTGACAGTTTGTTGAGTCAATATTTAGGATTGACAGGGAGAATATATTCTCAGGAAAGAGGAGGATGGGGGTAAAAGGCTCTGGAAAGTCCTTGATATGCAGCCTTGGAGGACAGGCCAACAGTCTTCTCCTTAACGACCTGTAATTTCCAGGGGCCTGACCTGTACTCAGCTGGGGAGGCCTTGGGGTAGATAGGGATTATCTACCCTATAATAGTTAGGGTAGAGTCTCGGAGAGGAGGAGGGTGGAGCTTTTTGTCTGTGGGGGGATGGCAGGAAGTGGTGGCCATGTAGGGAGCCTGCCCTCTGAGTAATTTTCCTTGGGGCAGGAACAGGGTGGTGGGAATCTGAGGGGAGCCCTGTCAAGGGCCTGGCTCTCTGCCCGGGCTACCCGCTCCGGACTGTCGCAAGGCTATTGTATTGCTCTGCCCGGCAGGTCACCCGGTGGACTTCTTAGATCTGAGAGGCTGGGGGCAGGAAGGCTGATGGGGAGTGGCTTCAGGAAGTCTCAGGCAGGTACAGGCTGGGAGGTTAACATCTTAGAGAAAATGGAAGCCTCCACCCCATGGGCCTCACGGAGTTTGGGGGCAATGGCACCATGTTCCCTTCTCTGATCTTTTGTAAGGCAGGAAACTGCATCTTCCCGATTCACTGCAAACCACAGGGCGAGTCTGGGACGGAACCTTCTCCAGGCTCCAGCATGGGGTGGCCAGAAGTATTGGGGTTGGCCGTGTAATGTAGGGAAAAGAGGTGGAGAAGAAGTTACCGTCTGATCAATTCTGGGTACGCTCCAAGCACGCTGCCTGGTGCTTCAGACATTACCTGACTCAGCCCTGCAATAATGCTGGCCATATCATCACCTCCCCTACATTTGACAGATGAGGAAACCTATGTGCTGAGACTCTTAATGTTCTCATCCTGTCAACAGTGTGTTCTGTTTACCTGTGCCAATGTCACCGTGTCTGATTCTGCAGGCCTTGTCACAGTGGGTCTGGCATAGCCGTTCTGACTGTGCTTTCTATTGACGATGACAAACCCAGGACTTCCTTTTTTTCTTTGGCCACTGCACCGTGTGGCTTATGGGATTTTAGTTCCCCGACCAGGGATTGAACCTGAACCTGGGCCCTCGGCGCTGAGAGCATGGAGTCCTAACCACTGGACAGCCAGGGTATTCCCCCCAAAGCTTCCTGATTTATCTGCATCCAATGTCAGGCACTGTCACCCTGCCCTTTCCCCTGATACATGAATCTAAGCCACCTGTGATAACCACTAATTACCCCTGTATTAGAATGTTTTCCTTGAGTAAAAAGATTTTCTTATACTGTGCACAAAGAGATATGTACAAAGATGCTTATTACAGCATTGCTTACAGGACAAACGGGAACATTCAGAAAGTGCCCATCAATAGGCAAATAGATAAACCAGGGAAGGCAGGGTTCTCAAACTTTTCTGTCTCAGGGGCCCTGTAGGTTCTTAAAAATTACCGAGGACTCCAAAGAGTCCTCAGTAATTGTGAGTTATAACTGTCAATATTTACTAAAATAGAAATTAAAACTGAGAAATTAAAAATTTTAACTTATTCATTAAAAACAATAAATGTTCACATAAATAACATTTTCAGCTTTATTGAGTTATAATTGACAAAAAGAATTGTAAGATATTTAAAGTGTACAATGTGATGATTTGATATATGTATACATTGTAAAACGATTCCCCCCATTGAGTTAATTACCACATCCATCATCTCACATAATTACCTTTTTTTGGTGAGAATATTTAAGTTCTACTCTCTTAGCAAATTTCAGTTATACAATACAGTGTTATCAACTATAGTTACCATGTTATACATATATTAGAGCCTCAGAACTTTTCATCTTATAATTGAAAATGTGCCCTTTTACCAACCTTTCCCTATTTCCCCATCCCCCATCCCCCCCTCTGGAAAATACTTTTCTAACTCTCTGGTTCTATGAGTTTGACTTCTCCTTTTAGATTCCACATGTAAGTGATACCATGGAGTACTTGTCTTTCCATGTCTGGCTATTTCACTAAGCATAATGCCTTCCAGTTTCATCCATGCTGTCACAAATGACAGTATTTCTTTCTCTCTCTCTCTCTTTTTTTTTTTTCAAACAAACAACTTTTTATTGAAGTATAGTTGATTTTCTTCTTTTTAAGGCTGAAATATTCTGTGTCTATATAAATACATATACATCACATTTTCTTGATACATCTATCTGTTGACGGATACCTAGATTGTTTCCATACTTTGGCTATTGTGACTAATACTGCAATGAACATGAGAGTACAGATATCTCTTCAAGATAATGGTTTTATTTCTTATAGACATTTACCCAGAAGTGGAATTACTGGATGATATGGTAGTTCTATTTTAAATTTCTTGAGGAACTTCTACACTGTTTTCCATAGTGGCTGCACTAGACATTTCTTCATAAAATACCATGTTAAATGAAAAATAGTTATATTTTCTAAAATAAATAATTAGTGAGAAGAGTGGCATTGTTGTACATTTTCACAAATCTCTTTAATATCTGGCTTAATAGACGACAGCTAGAGTCTCATACCTGCTTTTGCGTTTAATCTGTTACAATATGCTGTTTTGATGGAAGAAGATGAAGCGTATCTGGACCCACAGATATGCAGTTGGAAAGAGAGGTGTATCAGCTTTCTCAGATAATTGTGAATATTTTTCTTTGATACTACACCAACACTTGACAACTGGTAGTTTCTTAAAGGTTAGCTGTGATGTGGAATCTGAAACCATATCAACTAATTTTTCTACTCTGTTACATTAAAATTGCTCTGGTCTGTCTTGCACTTTGAGTGGATTGTTCATCCATGTGTGACTTTGTAACATCATGCATTGGTCACCTGGAAAATTTTGGTTCACTGAACTTTGCATACCCTCCAAATGTTGATATACTTTATTGCACAATATTAAAAAAAATCACATTTATTAATATCAATATTGATCTCATTGGAAAACTCTTATAGTGTCAGGCAATTGTCAAACTCAGGATGGCAGATGTAGATTTTCTACAACTCTAATTTTTGCTGGAAAATTCAAATGTTATGAATGGCAGCAAATATTGTCAGTTATTTTCCTTGAAGTGACAGTCTCCTTTGTTCTTTTTTTTTTTTTTTTTTTTTTTTTGCTGTGTGCGGGCCTCTCACTCTCTCCCGTTGCGGAGCACAGGCTCCGGACGCGCAGGCTCAGCGGCCATGGCTCACGGGCCCAGCCGCTCCGCGGCATGCGGGATCTTCCCGGACCGGGGCACGAACCCGTGTCCCCTGCATCGGCAGGCGGACTCTCAATCACTGCGCCACCAGGGAAGCCCTCCTTTGTTCATTTTTGAGAAAATATCTGCCAAATACCCAAATATGAATCATAGTTTGCCTATCAGTCATTCTCTCCAGTAAAAAGAGTGGTGCATGAAGAAAGCAGGTAGTTCAGCTCACATCTCAAATGATTGCACAAGTGCTTTTTATTGAGATAAACATTGTTCTTCAGTATGCAGCAGCAATGTTTTATGTGTAATTCCCATTTCTTCACAGTATACAGTGTTTTATGTATACTTCCCATTTCTTCACAAAGAATGTGAATGTGTTTTATATTCAAGATTTTTTTGGGTGTGCTAACTAGCTTTTTTAAAAAAATTGAAGTATAGTTGATTTACAATGGTTCAGGTGTACAGCAAACTGATATATATTCTTTTTCAGATTCTTTTCCATTATAGGTTATTACAAGATACTGAATATAGTTCCCTGTGCTCTACAGTAGGTCCTTGTTGTTTATCTAATTTATAGATAGTAGTGTGTATCTGTTTATTCCAAATTCCAAATTTATCCCTACCCCTCTTCCCCTTTGGTAACCATAAGTTTGTTTTCTTTGAAAGTCTATTTCTGTTTTGTAAATAAGTTCATTTGTGTCATATTTTATTTTATTATTTTTTTATATGGAGCGCTTCACAAATTTGCATGTCATCCTTGAACAGGGGCCATGCTTATCTTCTCTGTATTGTTCCAATTTTAGTATATGTGCTACCGAAATGAGCACTGTATCATATTTTAGATTTGCACATATAAGTGATATCATATGATATTGCCTTTCTCTGACTTACTTCACTTAGTATGATAACCTTTAGGTCCATCCATGTTGCTGCAAATGGCATTATTTCATTCTTTTTAATGGCCAAGTAACATTCCATTGTGTGTGTGTGTGTGTGTGTGTGTATATATATATATATATATATATATATATACCATATCTTCTTTAAAGGATCAAGCTTTAATAAAATGATCTTAAGTGACACTGACATTTTTCCCTAAACTGCGAGTGTGTGCTATGAAGAATCTAATGACTACTTGGACAGTTTTGTGCCACTGCTTTATCTGTGGCACCAAATAACCCACCATTGCTTTTGTGCCATTGGTGGAAATATCAAAACCGTTGTTTCAGGAGAAGCCATGACATTCAAAAAAGTTAGTCAGCACTGAGAATTTCACCACCACATTTGTTCATTGCCAAGTATTCACATAGAAGAAGATCTTTAACGATCAGTTGGTGCTGACATGAGATGAATACAAGAAAACAGCACGTTTCTCCTGTGTGTGTTGATTCATTCATTTATGAGGCACAAGTACAATTCTTCAGGCAAGAGATTAACTCAGCCTTCATATTTGCTGCTAAATCTTTAATATGACGAGTGACTGTATTGTTGGTAAGTGGAAGCTCAGATTTCTTTCACGACTTTTCATCTAGCAGGTGTTCAGCTATGTCAAGGTATGAGGCTTTATTATCTCTCAGCTATTGAGTTCACTTCTTCAGCGAATGCAGTGTGATAAGTTATCCTGTACGACGCTTCAGTAACTTTTTCATTTCTACTTTGAAAAGCTGAAAGAAACAATTTTTAGCTTTTGAAGAGCTCAGCATATCTACATTTAAACTAAGCAATTCCTTTTTCTCTAAACTCTGAATGATTGGTCTCACAATGATGCTGCAACTTACCTAGTGCTATAATACTATTCAAAATGTTCTGTTGCGTAAGACATGATAAGATAAACAACTAATATCTATATAGTTGAGGGAAATACAGATTTCATCATATTTTTGTTTCTTACTTAGTTTTGCACAGTTGCTTTGGAGTCTATCCCTCCTTTCCACTAGTCAGAGAACTCTGACATGTCAATTTCATCTTTTTCAGTATTTTTAGGCATAGGTGGTGTAGAGGTGGGTTGAAGAAGCAAGTCTTCTAATCTGTCTTTCTTAAGCCAATGATAAATTCTTGAACATAAGAAGAAATATATTGTAAAGAAATGATGGGGACTTCCCTAGTGGCGCAGTGGTTAAGATTCTGCGCTCCCAACGCAGGGGGCCCAGGTTTGATCCTTGGTCAGCGAACTAGATCCCGCATGCAGGCCGCAACTAAGTTTTTGCATGTCACAACTAAGGAGCCCGCCTGCTGCACCTAAGACCTGGTGCAACCAAATAAATAAATATTAAAAAAATAAAGAAATGATGATGTGTGTTAGAATAAAACATTATTGCATTTATTACATTTCAAAGTAGCAATTTTAGATAAAATTTTTATTCTATTATTATTTTAGATAAAGTTTTAAAAAACTTTTTATTTATTTTTTTATATAGCAGGATTTTATTAGTTATCTATTTTATACATATTACTGTATATGTGTCAATCCCAATCTCCCAATTCATCCCACCACCACCACTCCACTCCCGCTTTCCTCCCTTTGTGTCCATACGTTTGTGCTCTACATCTGTGTCTCTACTTCTGCCTTGCAAACCGGTTCATCTGTACCATTTTTCTAGATTTCACATATATGCGTTAATATATGATATATTTTTTTCTCTTTCTGACTTACTTCACTCTGTATGACAGTCTCTAGGTCCAACCACATCTCTACAAATGACTCAATTTCATCCCTTTTTATGGCTGAGTACTATTCCATTGTATATATGTACCACATCTTCTTTATTCATTCGTCTGTCGATGGGCATTTAGGTTGCTTCTATGACCTGGCTATTGTAAATAGTGCTGCAGTGAACAGTGGGGTGCATGTGTCTTTTTGAATTATGGTTTTCTTTGGGTATATGCCCAGTAGTGGGATTGCTGGGTCATATGGTAAATTCTATTTTTAGTATTTTAAGGAACCTCCAAACTCTTCTCCATAGTGGCTGTATCAATTTTCATTCCTACCAACAGTGCAAGAGGGTTCCCTTTTCTCCACTCCCTCTCCAGCATTTCTTGTTTGTAGATTTTCTGATGATGCCCATTCTAACTGGTGTGAGGTGATACCTTATTGTAGTTTTGATTTGTATTTCTCTAATAATTAGTGATATTGAGCAGATTTTCATGTGCCTCTTGGCCATCTGTATGTCTTCTTTGGAGAAATGTTTATTCAGGTCTTCTGCCCATTTTTGGATTGGGTTGTTTGTTTTATTAATATTGAGCTGCATGAGCTGTTTATATATTTTGGAGATTAATCCTTTGTCCATTGATTCATTTGCAAATATTTTCTCCCATTCTGAGGGTTGTCTTTTTGTCTTGTTTATAGTTTCCTTTGCTGTGCAAAAGCTTTTAAGTTTCATTAGGTCCCATTTGTTTATTTTGTTTTTATTTCCATTACTCTAGGAGGTGGGTCAAAAAAGATCTTGCTGTGATTTATGTCAAAGAGTGTTCTTCCTATGTTTTCCCCTAGGAATTTTATAGTGTCCGGTCTTACATTTAGGTCTTTAATCCATTTTGAGTTTATTTTTGTGTATGGTGTTAGGGAGTGTTCTAATTTCATTCTTTTACATGTATTTTATTATTTTTTAAAAAATTAAAAAAAAGTTCTTTGGCTGCACCATACAGCATGCGGGATCTTTGTTCCCCGACCAGGGATTAAACCCATGCTCCCTGCAGTGGAAGCTCGGAGTCTTAACCACTGGATTGCCAGGGAAGTCCCATAAAATTACAAATTTTAGGAAGTTTTTTTGAGAAACATTAAAAAATATTATTGCAAAACAAGATGAAGCATACTTATTTCTCGTGTTTCCCTAGGGGTCCAAGGAAAAATTCAGAATTTCAAAATAATAATATTGGATAATAGTACAGGTACAATTGAAGTTAGTGAGGAATAGCACAGTAAAAGTTCAAGAACAAACTGAGTTCACCTCTTGAAAATGTACACATTTATACTCTAATTCTACTTCTTTAGAACATTTTGGAAAATATTAGAAGTACACGTACATATTTCACTAGCTGTCAGAGCAATGACATCATCACAGGCCATGGAGCCTCTGGAAAACTCCACTGTACATTTGTGAGAGAGTGAGGGTGCAAAAGACAAATGATGTCTTACTATTATGAAAATAATTTTGACCTTATAGGCCCCCTGAAAGGATCTCCCAAGTGGTTCCCAGACCACACTCTGAGATCTGCTAAACTAGGGTAATGTTTGTTCTGTGGAATATTATGCAGCTTTTAAAAGCTATGAGGTAGATCTATATGTACTGTCATGTAACAAGAACAACGGAATAGCATTTACAATATGATACATACAAACACACAGAACAACTCTACATATTCTGTACTTACATATATGTATGCAAATGCATAGAAAATTCTAGAAGAACACGCTGTTAACTGTGGTTACTTTTGGGAAGCATTGTATGACAGCCAAGCCAAAAAAACCCCATTATATATATATTATGTAATAGCTAATTTTATATAATAATTTGTCTTCATCTTTCTCCTGGGTGATATGTAAAATTTACACAGTTTTGGTATTTTTTTCAGATCAGTTCATAAGTTGACAGCTGTCATTGTTCTCTGGAGAATCACTATCACTAGGGTGAAAGGGTATGGTTGCTAGGTAAAATACAGGACACCCAGGTAAGTCTGAATTTCAAATAAACCAGGAAGACATTTTTAGTATAATTATGTCCCATGCAATATTTGGGACATACTTATACTAAAAAATTGTTTGTTGTTTACCTGAAATTCAAATTTAACTGGGCATCTGTTTTTAAAAATTTGCTGTTTGTCAATCTCATAAAGGGGATATGGGGGATGACCCTTAGGTACCAAGTTGTGGAGTAGAACCCAGATCCATTGGCAGCTTGCTGGTGCTCTTTGGACATCTTTGTGAGCCAAAGCTCACTGGAAGATAAGATAAGAAGCTCTGAGAGGAGGATATTGGGGCAAAGAAATGTTGGCAAACTCACTCTTCTCCTGATAAATGCCTTGCAGCTTGTCAAGGTTGTGAGATGTTGTGGTGAAAGGGATGAGCAGGGAATGAATTGGAGGGAGGTTATAAAATGTTGCAATGGGAATTTTTGCTTTTAAATACATATAAACTTTCACAAGATGTAGCCTTTGGCATTAGGTTGCATAACTCTTCTGTAGTCACCGTGAGACTGGTACTATGTCCTGGGCTTCTGGGCTCCAGCAGGTCCCTGTTTCTACATTATCCCATGGCTACCAAAGGCCTTGGCTACTGAGGGGGTTTTCTTGAGGTGGTAAAAGGTCACTCCAGAACTTTCTTCTCCATAATCTCTTTTCTTCCCCATCAGGGGAATGTATATATGCCATTTTTCCCAATTCTTCTTTTTCTCACTTTTGTCTTAAGAAATTTCACCATGGTCAAGATCCTCCTCAAATGTACAGACCTTTAAGTTTTTTCTTTCTTTTCTTTGGGTTTTCTCTTCTTCTTCTTCTTTTTTTTTTTTTTTTTTGCGGTACGCGGGCCTCTCACTGTTGTGGCCTCTCCCGTTGCGGAGCATAGGTTCCGGGCACGCAGGCTCAGCGGCCATGGCTCACGGGCCCAGCCACTCTGCGGCACGTGGGATCTTCCCGGACCGGGGCACGAACCCGTGTCCCCTGCATCGGCAGGCGGGGTCCCAACCACTGCGCCACCAGGGAAGCCCTCTTCTTCTTTTTTTTAAAAATTATTTTGGCTGTGTTGGATCTTCATTGCTGTGCGTGGGCTTTCTCTAGGTGTGGCGAGTGGGGGCTACTCTTTGTTGTGGTGCGCAGACTTCTCATTGAGGTG